GTACCTAGATAATAGAGACCCACATTGCCTCAGGGTGTCCAACACATTGCCTCAGGGTGTCCAACAAAGACGACTGTTTGTTTGACTCTTTAGAGCAAACCAAGTCTATATTTACACCACACCAGATAGATATTAAAACACTGAAATCTATTACTCAAACACCTGAAGCAGTTATTAATTTTGAAATATCAATTACATCAGCCATGGATACGTATCTGCAACCAGTAAATTAAGTAGAATATCAGAAAATAACTCTAAATTAATCTTCTATTCAATCAAAAACCAAACATGGTGATACAACTATGATAACTAAAGGCAAGCCAAGCCAACAAAAAGTTCATTATTGTTACGAAATTCAGCAATATCTCCAAAATAGAGTAAATGTGCGAAAAATAGAAGAAAAACCCAATTACAGCCAGAACATAATCTTGAGATCCAAATATATAAATGCATTTGTGTCTATATCTATTTTGTTATATAAAGCACACAACTCAAAACAATTTTGAAGCTTTGTTGCGCCTTTTTCCCCCCAGGTATGCCTATAATATTAACTGGTCCAGTAAATAGACCAAATATTTTTCAAATTCAACCCATTTTACTCATTCATCAATTTGCCAAAAAATTTAGATGTAAAATTGCAAACGCCTTTGTCACACTTTTTTTTCTTCTTCAAGAAACCCATATTGTTAACTGCTTCCATAATAAATGTTTCCAAATTCAACCCATTTTCCTCATTTGTCAAATTGCCTAAAAATTTAGATGTAAAGTTGTAAAAAATTAACAGGACTTAATTAGATCCACAATCAATCTTGAGAAGCTGAACAATTCACATCTATACAAAGTTCTATATATAAATAACGTGTGCGTAGATACATATATATGATCTCATGTAACGCCCTCAAAATAATACAAATAACCCAATTCATAAGAGAAATGAATATAAAACAATTGGTACATTCTCATAACAGAATTCGTATTACAAAATGGATTATATGCATTATACATTCATAAGCGTTCATTCTGAATCCACAACATGTAATGCAAATTAATAACAACAAATTAAATGCCCTATGAGCTTACATCTTTTCAAGACATATCTTGGTTACAATCAAAAGTGAGCTTCGCTCATTACGTTGTAAGCCCTTGGCTTTACAAAAATATGCAATCAAAATGAGAAGCCCTTGCTTCCAAAAGTTTCTCCAATGCTATTGCCTTGGTAGAGGCATGCCATCATTACCTGAAAATGTTATTCCTAAGTAGGGTGAGCCACAGCCCAATAGAAACCATCTAACACAGTATATGAAATTTAGCAAAGGTATAAGTACACTATGTATATACAACGTCAAAGATAAAGGCATCCACATTATGTATAGTCTTAAATTACCAAACTCAATCATTAAGCCATTTCCCTTCATTTCATTTAATTACATAAGCCAATTTCATCATTTCTCAACAACCCAAATGAGATTACAACTCATTAGTTCTAGAACCACATTATCAACACGTAAGCACTTCAAACTTATCTTTCACGGATATTTCGTCCACAGGCAACCATCAAACGGGACCCATGAATTCTTTCACAGATATTTCGTCCGCAGGCAGTCGTCAAACGGGACCCATGTATTCGTAGGCTATACCAACACTACAATTTCCATTTTACGGATATTTCGTCCGCGGGCTAGGCACCCATGTATAATTTCGAGACTGTCACCCAGGACACTCCGACCAACTTAATTATAATGGAGTCCATCCCCTTTCTCCTCCCAAACAATCATACATACATATTCAATGTATTTAATTACAAACTCAATCAATGAAGTACATCCTCTTTCCACTCTCCAAATAGCCATACATAGACAATGTGTATAAATATAGTCATATTCAATGACAAGCACAAGTGATTAGTTTCAATTCACCTAATCCGCATGCAATTTCTATAACAATCATAGCTATCCTCCACCGATAGCCCAATATAGTTATTTCTAAATAGATATAAAATCTCATAACATATAGTTTATTCGAAACTACCAAAGAATGAAATAACTCATAACCAATCCCACTATTCATATCAATACCCTTTCAATTTCATATTTTTAAGGTGAATTTCCATTATTTATACAAAATAATAATTTGATTCAATTAGGGAAAATTCCCCCTTTTCCCCAAATACTAGCCAAGTGCCAAAATCATCAAATCATATACAATACAATATCATGTTCAAACCCCTCAAGCATTTATTTCACCTTCACTCAAAAACCCCTCTTTCCACTTTATGCCTAAACCCTAGGTTTGCCTTAAACACCCCCAAATCACATCATTGTTACGCAAGATACAAATAACTAAGCTAAATATCATATGAAAGTGTAGAAAAGATCTCTACCTCAGGCTTAGATGAGAGAGAGGAGAAAGAAGCTCAAAAATCGATGACGACGAAACAACGATTTGCCCGACCAAAACGTAGCCCTTGACAAGCTCTACACTTAATCTCAAAGGAGCAAGGTGAAAAGATCACTCTAGGTGAGTAGATCTAAAGATTTAAGTGAAAAAGTTTGAGTTTTAGAGAGAGAGAAGATAACTCACGGTTTGAAAGGAAGAAAGGGAGGAAAAATAATGAGAAAAGTGGTTTGGGCCTATTTATAGTAGTAGCAAATAGCCCTAAGGTCAAATAAAATAATAGGACCAAACCCCCCCCAAAGGTAGGGCCCAATCGAACCCCAAAAATCGGAAGAAAAAAAAACACACAGAGGTCGACCCTTTAGGTAGAAAAGACAATCTGGCAACAAGCAAGGGAGCCGACCCTTCGACAGGAAGGGGTCGACCCTATTTTTCAGCAACTAACACACAGATTCTGCAACATAAGAGGGTCGACCCTCCCCAGACTGGTGTCTATCCTATATTCCAGCAACATTTCCAGAAACTTCACCAACAGGTAAGGGTCGACTCTTAGGAAGGCTGGTGTCGACCCTAGAATAAAATTTCTAAGTCTCCAAGGAACTTTTGACAAGAACAAGTGCGAACAACCAAACCCAACTAGTTTAAATTGGATTATACTCCTCCAAAACCAACATATAACAACACCAAAGATTTCCAAAATGAAAATAAAAGATTTGAATACACTTCCCAAAAAGTTTTGAAGGATACAGGTGCTACATCTCAAATTACTTGCCTGCGACTCTGAATGAGCTCAATCGTATGGTTCCAAATAGCAAAACGAAGCTAGTTGGGACTCAAAACCCTAAATTTAGGGCAACTACCGAGAACAACTGCGTGGTGATCCAGAACCAGAGGGACAATTAGGGTTCGATTGAGTATCGCGGCCATCAAAATGGCGTACTTGAACTCTGACAATTGGTTGCTGAACCTACTATGGGGTGCATACCAGAGGAATTTCTCTCTAGCTAGGGTTTTCTGTGAGGTGCAGAGGTCGGGGGACTGGGGTTGGGGGGAATTTTTTAGGGTGGAGAGGAGAGAATTGGAAATGTGCTTGTAGAAGAGGAAGAGGAGGAGAGAGATGGGGAGGAAGAAGAGAGAGATTGGGAGGAGAGATGTGGGTGATCTGAGAGGGGGTTTCTTCTTCCATCTGATGTTTGTTCTATTGTTGAAGTTGAGAGATTCCATCATGAGCGCTATTTTTTTTTTTTGAAAATATGGGAAACTTCGGTAACGTTTGGTAGAATTTTCTATATATGATTTGGGAATAGAGTTATATTTTGAGTTTGTGAGTTTTGAAAGTATAATTTGAGTGTAGAAAATTTGTTTGGTTTTGAGTTTTAAAAAGAGTTTTGAATTGAATCTTGAGTTAAGTATTGAATTGAGTTTTAAATATTTAATGTGATTTGTAAAATAAAAAAAATTATTTGGTTATGAGTTTTGAAAATAGTTTTTAAAACTTAATTCAAATTTTTATAACTCATAACCAAACGCACTACTCAAAACTTTATTGAAAATTCTGATCAACATTCATAACCAAACTCTTTTTAAAATTTAATTAAAAAAATTAATTATTAACAAAAAATAACATTAATCAATTTTTTTAATTGAAAATATTACAAAGGAAATATTTTTTTTTCAAAATAAATATTCAATTACTAATTTAAAATAACTTTTATTGTATATTTGGTTTGAATTCTTTTTTTATAAATATTTTGATTTAAAATATAAAAAATATATTATTTTTGTTAAAAAAAATCAAAAACAAATTACCATTTTTTTTTCTCCAAATAATAGGTGCCATTTGTCAAAAAAAAAAAAAAAACATGTTCCGAACATCCGTGAGGATATCCTGAAAGACGACTGGGTTGACCAAAATCGCTCTTTTCAAAATTTAAAATTCAAAAATTCAGTGTGCTGCCAAATAGGTTTTCAAATGAGTTTTTAAATGTAATTTGGAATCAATTTTGAAAAGCTTAAACTAAATAATGTGTTGAAAATAACTCTGGAATTAAGATTCCAGAGCTATACCAAACACAACCATAAACTTTATATTAATAAAAGACAATAACAGTACATAATCAAGATTTGAAAGGGTCATCCCAACCACATAACAAAACAAAAAACAGACAAACAACAAACAACAAACAAAAACAAACAACAAAAATAAATCAGCCAAAAAAATAGCTACGTCCAGGAAAAACCACCTATCTGCTCAAAGATGTGGTTTGAAAGCAAGATTTGCTTGAAAGCCCGCTGTCCCCGTTGACGTCGTCCCCATCGCTGCTGCCCAATTCTACCACCGCTGTCGCTGGAGAAGGAAGGACACCCACAATGGTATGGGAAAAGGGTTGAGAGAGGAGAGAACCATTGTGGATGTTGAAAAACCAAAAATCTATACCAAAATTGGAGGAGAAAGCTCTCAAAACTCCTATTTCAGACATAAAAAGTTCAGATATACACTCTAAAGCTGTAGATCTATACTCAAGAAGTGTAGATCTACACTTTAGAAATGTAAAATGAGTCGCCGGAATGTCGCCGGAGGAATTCGGAACATTGCCGAAAAACTCTCACTACAGGAAAAAGGAGATATGGTGACGTTTTTTTAACGACGTTTTTTTAAACGTCACTGTTATTAATATTTAACGGCGTTTTATAAACGCCGCATATTTTTTTAAAATAAAACTACGTCGTTTTATAATCGGAGGCGTTTGGAAACGCCTCCAAATGCGGTAGCCACACGCGCTTTTTTTTAAGCACATTTTGAATCTGAGCCCTTCTCTCTCTCTCTCTCTCTCTCTCTCTCTCTCTCAACCCTTATACGCACACATCTCTCTCAACCCTCATCGAAGCTCCAGATCGAAGCTTCATTTTTAAATCTGAGCCCTTTCTCTTTCTCAACCCTTATACGCACACATCTCTCTCTCAACCCTCTCTAAGCTCCATCGAAGCTCCAGATCGAAGCTCCATTTTAAAATCTGAGCCCTTTCTCTCTCTCAACCCTTATACGCACACATCTCTCTCTCTCTCTCAACCCTCTCTTATCTCCATCGAAGATTCAGATTGAAGCTCCATCGAAGCGATTTCGAAGCTCCATCGAAGATTCAGATCTAAACTCCAACGAAGATTCCGATCGAAGCGATTTTGAAGCTCCATCGACAACACCATCTGCACTGGCAAGGTAGCAAGCTCCACCATCTCTCTCTCTTTCTCTCTTTAGATCTATGAAATCAATGTTTTAAGTCATTCTTACTTGATCCTCATTTGCAGAGATTCAGAGAATCAGTGGTTTCCAGAAGCTCAGATCTGAACTTTAATCTGTACTCTCTCTCTCTCTCTCTCGCTCTATTTGTGGTCTTATTGGCCAAGGCATTGCAAATCAACATGTCAACTAGAGAGTTCCAAAAACATTTTGCATCCTTTCTGCAAACTGATAACGTAAAATATTATTGACCGAATAAAATAATTAAATGTAATTTGATCAAGTTGGAAATTATATTGACTGAATAAAATAAGAGGAAGGCTTTTAGCATCATAACGACAGTTAATCTTGAAATTATTAATGCTCTCTCTCTCTGCCTCTTTGTGTGTTTCTCTTTGTATTGGTTTCATCAGATCAGCCACAAATTTGGAGCGTTATTTACAGATTTCAATTTACAGGTAATTTAGATTCCATCACTTTTGGCATTGTTCGCACAATCATCTTTGTTTGTTTGCTGAGAAAAACAGAGGAATGAAAAGTAAAATACATTTGGAATCTTATAAATGGTTATTTTCACGTTGAATTTGATTCTTGGAAAATATAAAGAAAAAAGGCAAACGGTTAAATTCTTGAGATTTCTTGTTCTCTTGGTTCACAATGAATGAAAATGAGAAAATTTTAAGATGTAAACCTCCTGTTTTCTTTTGTTTACTTAGGAACCAAACGGAGCATTGAATTCTGGTCTTGTTTGATTTCTTGAATGAATGATGCTATAAATTTTTTATTTTATTTTATTTATTTTTTGCATTATAGCGTTTCTAATGGCTCAGATCATGTTCTATCTAGCTTCCTTCAATGTTTGATTCATATTTTGGTTTTGGTACTGATGAGATAATTGTAAGATGATTTAATGATCCTGAATTTTCAAATTAGTGATTTGTTTGATTTATCTCACCCTTTTCTTGGAATTCTACCCATATGGGCAATACCATGTCTAAATGAATTATTAGTTCAAAACCCAATTTTCATAGCCAAACATTGAATTACGTGTTATGTTGGATTACTAATCCAATACCAAGATCATGGAAGATGATCCTCTCTAGCTAGCACTTTCTTCATTCGACAAATGTGGTCTTTGGATCAACTGTTAGATGATGACTGGATAAAGAAAGTGTTGAAGGCAATATGAATCTCAAGATCATATCGACCCAAACAATAAATCACCATTTTATGTAACTGGGGAGAAATTGTCCTCCTTGTAGAAATATATTCTTGTTATTCAGCTGACGTGGATTGTTCAGTTGTCCATGCTCTAGCTTGGCTTTCTTGATCATACTATCATCAAGAAATGATCTATAAATATCTCGTCCACATGATTTGTATTAATAAGCTAATACAGTGGTTTTTACTTTAATGCTTGAGTTGACAGAAAAATGAAAATGATTTTCAATTGATTGAAAGTGATATGAATTTTGTACAGTTGTACTCATCAATGAAAACCATAAAAACCGTTGCATTTGGCAGAATCATTACTAGAAAGAATGTCTATATTATTTATGATAGTTGTTGAATTGTTGCAATGGCATGTAGTCTGATTTTAATTTTTTTTTTCTAGACATTTTCTTTCCCTTTTTTCTCCTTAATTGTTTACCAAGAATTTCCCTTTTTAAGTAAAATTGTAATTTTCAAACGATATATGTATACATATATCTTCTGCAAGCTCACATAGGTGATAGCCCAAACAAAGTTCTCTTCTCTTTTTTATTTCATGAAAATATATACCAACCAATTTCTTCAATTCCATTGGAACAAACTAGCAAGCTATTGTCGGAGTGCATTTTCAGTAGTGTTAAACCATCTTGTTAATTTTGATCCCAATCAATTAAATAAACAAAATTAAGCCTCAAGTCCATTTCATTGGATCAGAAGATGGAAAGGTGAAGCCTCGCTCGGTGGCTCACTTTCTCAGATCAACCTCCTTAGGAAGACGGACAGTTGAGACCTCGCTTAGGTTTCACTTTTGCTGATTTAGACAACTAGAATTAGTGGGAATATGTTTGATGTTGTGACTAGGATTTTAAATATCAGCTGTATTAGGATTTTTAACTTCTGATACTGATCTGATATATAAGTTTGATATTATTTGATATTTAATTGTACAGCCAAAACTAATATCTCAATACTATTATTTAAAACTATAATTGTAATGCCAGATAACAAGACAATTTTTGCACATTTATCATTTATGGCTGTACATGTATTCAATTTTTATTTCACTTTGGCCTTCTTGATAGTAAAGCCAACCAAGTCATTTAAAATGATCTCAACTACAGGGAATGGTACTTCTGACAATGTCAGTGTCAATTAAATTTTGGAAACCAACATGCACAAATGGGGTATGCAAGGCCTCATCATCCCAAACAGTACTCAGCTCTTTACATCATAGCAGTTGGTGCTGGTGGAACAAAACCCAACATCTCCACCTTTGGTGCAGACCAGTTTGAAATCATTTAGAAACTTGCTATGAAATTTGGATGGACAAATGTACGACAGTCAATAGGCATGGAAGCATATTTTGTTCAATTGGTAACCAATCTCTCATTTCTCCTTGCATCGACATTGACTTTTGCTGCTTCATATTGTCTTGGATGTCATTATATAGATATAATTTTCCTTTTTAAATTGCTCTACTGTGGTGGCTGTGGTTCTGGAAGTTGCAGTGCTGACTATCTCTTGCTTGTAATTTTTAATTATAGGAGGCCTGAATGTGGAAGGGGAGGCAGACAACTGGTAACGTAAAATATTATTGACTGAATAAAATAATAGGAAGGCTTTTAAGCTCACTATATCATGTAATTTGATCAAGTTGGAAATTATATTGACTGAATAAAATAATAGGAAGGCTTTTAGCATCATAACGACAGTTAATCTTGAAATTATTAATGCTCTCTCTCTGCCTCTTTGTGTGTTTCTCTTTGTATTGGTTTCATCAGATCAGCCACAAATTTGGAGCGTTATTTACAGATTTCAATTTACAAGTAATTTAGATTCCATCACTTTTGGCATTGTTCGCACAATCATGATCCTTATTTTTCTTTTTCTTTTTCTTTTTTCTCAATGAAATTGGGCAATTGCATCTCCACTTTTGTTCAATCAATCCTAATGATTAATCAGGCAGTCATTTACATTGATAGTAACATTTTACTCCATGTTGGGAGCTAGCTTACCGAGGCAAATTACCAATTCTTTATGAACACACAACAAGATAAAATATTGAGCAGGAAGGAGCAGTTAAAAGGCCCTTCTTATGTGAGTCTATAGATTTCATCTGAGTCTTTAGATTTCAAATATGCTCATTTTATCAGCAACTGTTTTCTTCCTTCTGTACCATGAAAGCAAGACCAACCTTCTACCAGTTGTCTTCAATTTAATAAACATTCATAGAGTTAGAAAACACTAACTGCAGCAAAACATCAACAAAGTTATGCAAATAGAGACACATTTGAGAGTAACAACTAACATTCATTTGTCCTCTCCTCGGGGTGCCCTTTAATTGTCAATTCCTCCAAGGCACAAAACCAGACAAAATTACTCGAGAATTAAATGTCATCCAAGTTAGTCTCGGCTCTTTAGTCACTAGAAAAACAACTATAGTCTTTGAACTTTATGCAAAGCACTTGTCTGAATCTCCAACAAATCAGCAATAACAGAGGACTTGCATTCGATCTATGCCTCAATGTAGATTGAACTCTCTGTATCTAAATAAAGCTAAGATCTATGCCTCAATGTTGAATAAGTTGTAATTCAATTCAGTCAATCACCCCAAATATATATATATATTTCCTCAAGAAAGGATAGGCTTAATATCAACAATGATTGCACTTAAATAATATAATTATTTATTTGCTCAAAATCTTGTTTTTATGTAACCTATGCATAATACATGTAATTGAGCTTTACTTCTATCCTTCTGTATTTGACTTGGATAGTTGAAGCTCTCTCAAAATTCTGTGAAGCAGACTGTTTGTTGGTGATTTTTCTCATGGAGATATATCTGTATCTAGAATCTGGATACAGCCAAGACAACAATTTAAGTTGAATTTACTCTTTGATGTGGTCAAACAGAATTTCTATTGATAATTAGCATATTCATGCAGCACAAAAAATTTATGGTGGTAGAGTAAAGAATCTTGATCGAAGATTGTAGTATTAGGTAAATTTGAAATTGGCAACAATTGCATTAACAGCTAAGAAGCGTGGACACGGACACAATTTAAATATCTATTTTAGAAAAGTTGAATTCTGTCTCTGTATGTGTCTGAAAGATGTGCTTTATATATGAATTCTAGGATGGATATCTTCTTTAAGAGATTTGGGTGTTTTCTTTTTTTAGTTCTTTCAGCAGTTCTTTTAGTGCACTCTCTTATTATTTATGTTTCTTTCTGAATTCTTGCCGTTCCTCTAATAGCTATTTTGGCTTAGATTTCTTGCTGTAGAAGCATTAAATTTTCATTTGATCTAATTCCAGGGATAATTGTGACTTCTTGCGGTTGTAAATAGCTTAATATTATCATTAATGTACCTTTGTTTGGTTGTTTTTCTGTTGATACAGTTTCTGATTAGAAGTTTATTCACTTGAGCAGGAATGGTGATGATGATTCAGTAGCTAAAATGAAGGCCGCTGAAGATGCCCTGCAAGAAAAGGAGAAGGTAATATTTTTTTGGGTCTGCTACCTGCTATAAGTTGTAGCATTATTTGATTATTTGAATAATTTTTTCGTCCATAAGATAGGACATCTGCAGGGGCAAAGATTAGCCTTAAATTTTTTTTATTTTTTATTTCATTTCTCTGAGTTTTCAACTTTATCATATTGCATGTATTTGTTCGGATAGATTTGATGTTTCCGCATGCATTCTGTTGGCTTATAAGTTGACTGTGATTTCCAGCAAAAACCTTCATTCGAGCTCTCTGGGAAGCTTGCTTCGGAAACTAACAGAGTTAGAGGTGATAATCTAATTGCCTTCATTTTAGGATAATGAATTTCATTTTGTTATTCACTTGGCTGAAGGGGGCACTCTTAAATAGAGCTGTGAACATGTTGATTTGTTGGTGTAAATAAATGTTATACTGCATTTTGATGATTAAGGGGTGATCTCCTGCTTTCCATCATTTTCAATATGGCTACCTGAATATTGAGATATATCTTTTTGATTTTCTCAATCTGTTGCTTTGCTTGTATTACCACATGCTTTTCCTAGCTTATGACCTCAGTAAATTTCCATGGCAGTGACTGACACGTACTCACATATAGTCCTTCGAACATAGTTATTAATGTGCTGCATCGGAATGGGCTGGCCCTTTCTAAAAGTTTCCCACAAAATTTAGAAAGCTATTTTTGTAATATTTTTTTCAATATTTTGTCTTGGGAAGAAAATTTTCAAATATTGCTCTAAGTGAATATATTACATTTATGAAAGTTGCTGTTTAATTCTATCACCACTTTATGAGCAATGAATTTGTAACTTAATCATGTGATCTTATGTGGTTTGGACTATGCTATGATTTGTTAAACATGTTAGTAATGTTTCAAAATAACTCCATTATTGGTTTTTGGTTGGGCAGCCCTTCTCCCCCCAACCTTTCTATTCTTGTAGATTCTTAAAGGCACGATATAATAATATTATATGTGTGTTTTCTTGTCACTTGAGTAACATGACCACTTGAGTAACACACTATATGTGCTCAAGTGATCATGTTATATAGATATGTCAATGTTTATAAAAGAAAATTAAAACTTTCAATTGAATGTAATGTTAATAATGAGGCTTAATGATCTCTAATTTCAATGTAAAACAGAAAACAAAAGGGATTTATTTATCTTCTTACGTGGAATAGAACGACCAGGAGCAACATAAAGAAGAACATCTTAATCACAATTCTGCGATCGAAATTCCAGCCCCGCACAAAGAAGTGTTCGAATATTTCATAGCCCAATTTGCTCAAAGCAAGTTTGATAATGTAATTCACAAAAACTTCCCTTCCAACGATCTCTCTAACTTCCTTCATCTTCAAGTGTAGGAATGGTGGTTTTGTGATGGAGCTTTTATACTTGGGTAGATTTGAACTTCCTTTGATAACTATAGAGTAAAGCTAAAAACAGAAGATCAATATGCCTTCATAATACGTTAGAATAAAGTCTATGATAGTATTACAATAATCCAGTCAATATATCCACCTCGCAATAGGATACATAATAATATATTTCTGCTCAAGAAAGTGATAGGCCTGGAAGTATCATACAATGCATGTGCACTTAAATAATATTAATTATTTATTTGCTCAAAATCTTTGTTTTTATGTAACCTATTGCATACAGTACATTGTAATTGAGAGCTTTCACTTCTAGACAACCATCCTTCCAAGGTACTGTGTATATTGAGACTTGGATAGTTAGAAGCTCCTCTCAAAATTTCTGTAGAAGCGACTGTTTTGAATTGGTGATTTTTCTTCTATGGAGATGTATCATCTGTAAAATCCTGAACGATCTGGAATACAGGCTCACAGACAAACAATTATACAGTTTGAATTTACTCTTTGATATGTGGATATCAAACGAAGAATTTCTATTGATAAATGTTAGATATATTCATGCAGACAAAACAATCAAACTTACTATGGGTGGAGATAGAGGTAAGAGAATCGTGAGTGATCGAAGAAACTATGTAGTATTAGATAATTCGAAAATTGGCTAACAAATGCTAATAACAGCTGGAGAGCGTGGGACGACGGACTACGAATTTAAATATACTTATTTTTAGAAAAGGTCCTTGAGATCTGTCCACGCTTCTAGTGCTTGTTTGCATGTATGTGTCTGATAAGATTGTGCCCTATTATTTTACTCATATAATTGTAGAATATAGGATGTCTAGGATGGATATCTTCTTTAAGAGATTTGGGTGTTTTCTTTTTTTAGTTCTTTCAGCATTCTTTTAGTGCACTCTCTTATTATTTATGTTTCTTTCTGAATTCTTGCCGTTCCTCTAATAGCTATTTTGGCTTAGATTTCTTGCTGTAGAAGCATTAAATTTTCATTTGATCTCAATTCCAGGGATAATTGTGACTTCTTGCGGTTGTAAATAGCTTAATATTATCATTAATGTACCTTTGTTTGGTTGTTTTTCTGTTGATACAGTTTCTGATTAGACGTTTATTCACTTGAGCAAGAATGGTGATGATGATTCAGTAGCTAAAATGAAGGCCGCTGAAGATGCCCTGCAAGAAAAGGAAGGTAATATTTTTTTGGGTCTACTACCTGCTATAAGTTGTAGCATTATTTGATTATTTGAATAATTTTTTCTCCATAAGATAGGACATCTGCAGGGGCAAAGATTAGCCTTAAATTTTTTTTATTTTTTATTTCATTTCTCTGAGTTTTCAACTTTATCATATTGCATGTATTTGTTCGGATAGATTTGATGTTTCCGCATGCATTCTGTT